TCATTTTTTATAAATCTAAATTAAGAAAAAAAATATAACTATTTTGATATGGGCTTGGTCTGAAGAACACACAAATATATGTTTTTAACAAAAATAGAAGATTAAAGAAATAAAATGACGAATTTTCTAAATTTGTGGGTAACGAAAACTTAAAATGTTAGGAAGAATTGATAGCCTGAAATTAAACTCCTGATAGTGTTTAACTCGAAAAAATCAAATAACAATTTGATGAGTAGGTTTAAGGTTTATATAATATGAAAGATGTATGACATTAGGGTTTTAGAAAATATAAAATATCAAGAAGATGGAATATGACAAGGGAAAAAACTTACGGCCTTTAAATGATTTGTGAAAGTTTTGGTCGGCGATGGAAGCAACGTAATAGAAAAAAAAAAGAAGAAACAGAGAACAAGCCGTCTAAGAAGTTTTTTAATTTTGAATATAGTTTAAAAAGTTACCATTAGAAATTTAGTATAGAATTTAAATTTGTTTCAATTTAAGTTCAGAATAAGTTTTGCTTTAATTTTGTATAAATTTGAATTTAAGGGTTGGAGAACTTTTTAAAATTATTTTGACTCAAATTTAAATTTACCTCTTTATTTGACTAAGGTTAAAGACGTTCTAAGTGGTGTACCTCTTCATATGTAATCAACACTCGTATTGGGTCGAAGTCCTGAAGTGCGCCTAAAGGATCGACTTAGGAATCTCTTGTCTTGGGCCTAATAAAGTTGGGCTTCTTGTACTAGATTCGGACTAACCGGTGACTGAAAGAAATCCCTCACATCAAATGCAAAACGAAAAATTGTAAAAAAGAACTTAGAGTTATTGATCAAAAAATACAAAGTTTTTATACTCTCTTTGATAGAAATGATAAAAAGTAGGAGATATATTCTTTCTATCCTTCAAAAAAGAAAAGTAAAAATGATATACTTTTCTTCGTTTGTGTTTGATATGATGGATAGAAAATAAAAATAATTATTTATTTATTTATTTTATTTTTTGTGATAGGTAAGATGGAAAACTCATTTTTTTTAATTTTTAAATTTAAATTTAAATTTTTGTAAAAAAAATATAAACACATATTTTATCATTATATTTATATATGAAATTAATATATACATAATATATGTATATATCAAAGGATATATATAGACAAATAAAATATATTTCAATACAAATAATTAATTTTTTATCCACATTCCTTTTAATTTTAGAGGGATTGACTTTAGTGAGTTGGAAAAAAAAATTCGTTCATCTATTTTTTTATCCTTCCTATTTTCTTTTATTATCAAGCATGATGTTTTATCTATCTCTCAAACTTTCCATCTTTCTATTTTTCTAACGTACCAAACAGAGCATTAATGTTTGTTTATTAAGTCATTTTTTTTAGAACTTAATTATATCTAATTACACAATTTGACTTTTAGTGTTTTTTATTTAATATATTTGTCCTCACTTAAATTATGCATATTTCATTTGACAATTTTTTTTTGAAAAATTTATTTTATTATATTAATTTGTCCCTAATTAATGGGAGAATTATATCTGCAGAAAATTTGATGCTAACGTTGATTTTGTATATCTCATCCATTTTGAAATTTGAATTCTTTTCTTATTATCTTTCTCATCAAACATATCGCCATTTTTCGTCTCTAAATTATCAACCATTAACATTCGGAAAAATTCAAACTTGTCATCTGTCTTATTTTTCGATGGACATGAAAAAGGTCAAACATATCGTCTTGCTTCTTCTAATATGTTCATTTATTATCATGTTGAATTTATATATATATATATATATATATATATATATATATATATA